AACACGTACACAAAAGTGCAGTGAGTTCGGGTATCGACCAAAAAATCAACGACCGAAGAGCATTTCGGCAGGATGGGCTTATTTAGAAGCGTTTCGAGGAATGAATGCTTCATTCTGGAGAATCTGTTCCCCCAGAATTCTTCTGTCTTATTGTTAATTACTTATATCTACTAATATTAAAAGGTCCTACATTCGGTTTATAATATAACAGAAACGTAATGCATTGAACCCTTCTTATGATAATCTATTCCGTTTCTTAACGATTTGGGTCTTCTTTGGAGATTGCTATCTTGAAAAGATAAACCAGTGTTAACTTTGTATTTTCAGAAATACAGTTTTTTCAAAGGTTTCTTTCAGACGTGATCTTTCAGACGTCAGACGTGATCGTCATGAAATATCTCAATCTTATTTTTGGAGACGAAAAATGGCTTAAATTGTTGCATTTTGAAGTTATAACGAATGAAGGGGGAAAATGATTCATTTCTATATAATGCAACAGAAAGGGTGCAATGAAACACGAAATGGAGCCATATTGTCTAATGATTTTAGCCCATACGTAAAATTCTAAACACACGTACTAGCATACATTATAAGAAACTTCACTGAAGATGATTCCGGTAAGAAAAAAAACTCCTGATAAATATTGTAACATATGCAAAAGGAATCAAAATTATGAGTATACATTTTACTAGAAGTGTGATATTAGTATTATGTGAAGGAGTGACACTGTAAAGTTAAATCTTGAAACTAAAAAACAATATACAACAATAACAAGAAGAATCATCTTATTAACTTCCTATTTTCTAATGCTTCCGCGATCTTTATCGATGTTGCTTCATGGTGATACTATGAATTCTTTCAGGAAGTTCTCTGTTTTGATGTTTCCCACTGTATGTTAGTGTTTTCTGTATTTTCTCATAATCCACGACTCTAATGTGGCATTAAAATCACATCTGTCCAGTCCCACCGTTTGGCAATTATTTTGATATTTAGACGACCACGCTTCAACTGCAACTTGTTTACTTTAGTTTAACATTTTTTGACATGTTATACTTTTTAAAAACAATTCAACAATTTTGGTCTGAAAATTCAGTGGAACATTACAGAAAATTGCTGAACAACTCTAATTTAGAAGAATGGAAAAAATTACTAATACATTTTTCAAAGGAGGAGAAAGAAACCGTGGGAGGAATCAAACAGCAAAACATTTTTTTTACAGATTAATATTTCCCAGCCATATTTGGCTCCGAGCTTCCTCTCAGGTTGCTCCTCCTTTACCAGTAGCCTCAAATGATCTTTTTTATACTGTGTACAAATAAAATACTTTAAAAACAAAATCTTAATCTATAACATATTGCTTTCAAAATCAGAACTATATAATTTGTACTGAAAATATCGAAAGCTGCTTTACCCAAAATGTCAGTAATTATAAGATACTATTTTGTTTTGTTATAACAGTCGTATTTTCTTTTTTCAATATAATTAAAAAAATGAATAATAAAACACCTAAATATGTTCTGTTTTCGTTCTGCATGATCTTTCCTGCCTTGTTTTGTTATTTGTTTATTGAAAGAGCCTTTTTTTAATCAAACAATTTTAGAGAATCTAGAAATACTAATTTCTACAAGAATAGGATTAAAGAATTATAATGTCATTGCTTCACAAAAGTTATCTTCAAGCAGGGTATTTTCCTGAAATTTGGTTTTAGCTGAAGAATAGGCAGTCTACTCCCGATTATCCGGGAAAAGATTAACTGCATTACGAATTAACTTAGCCTATCTAAAAATAAAATTAAGCCTGCTTTTTGCTGAGATAATAGCTGTGATAGCAGACGATATTATAATGCTTGGGAAATGTTCTTATTTACAGATGTATGTAATTTAATTGCACTTAATCCTGAATACTTAAACATTTTACTGTAAATAAAAAGTTCTAACTGATTCTGTTAAGCAAGAATTTGAGTAATATTTTTTAGTATGATTGTCCACATTTTGTAACTATTATTTATGAATGACGTTCATAATTTACGTTTCTTCATTCCTAATAATATCCATTTTCAGTTATTAATAATGTGTTCTTTTTGTTTTGTTTTAATCACTGATTCGTGTAACCAAATGAACTTAATCTCCAGGTTAAACTGCTTTAAAATGTAGATAAATAGTTAAAAATATTTATTATAATCAATCAAGCAACCATAATAAATAAATCATTAATCTACGATAATTGTATAATCAATCAATGAATATCAATAATAAAATATGGGTAAATCCTATTTACTGTGTTTTTTTCCTATCGGATTTACCGCGATTTTGAATTAACCGTAGATATGGTTCTCGGTATTAACCCGTTTAATTGAGAATCTACTGTATAACAGGTAGAAAAAGCTGCTCCGCGATTACTTTTCTTTTGCGTAATATATTCGTGCTGATCGTATTTTTCTAGCTTTTCGGGCATAGGAAACAAATATAAAAACCAGAAGAACATAGAATCAAGAGTTAAACATTTCAAATACTGAAATCAGATATTGCATATCTACAGGCAAATAGCACCGTAAGAAAGTGCAGGAAATATATCCCTTTTTATCAGGTGTCCAGAGTTAATATTTATGAACCATTCACCAGCCTTTAGTGTCACTTCTATTTTCGTCGGCTCCAACCAGCATGAAAAATAGTTAATGTATATAAATACAGAGTTCTAAAGAGCATTTCGCAGCGATTTCTCACCAGCTCTCTTCTATTCTCTCTCAGGTTCTGAATTTCTTGAATTGGTTTTGGTTTTGCTAGCTGTAATTGCACATAATAACCAGAGTCAAAACTTTTGTAAGCTTTGTCTTGTTTATATTGTAGAGACATTAGATATTTTGAAGCAGGAAAGATGAAAAATGAGCAACGCCTTCGCCGGGATTCGAACCACGAACCTCTAGAATACGCGATCAGCATGCAGACCACAAAACCACGAAGGCACGCTAAGAAGACGGGAGAAATACCTTATAACATAGCATTTTAATACTTCAAATTTTATTTTAGTTTTCTTTATTCCGGCAGATTGCAGAAACTATTCCTGTTGTCCCACTACTAGTTTAACGAACTAATAAAAGATTCGTTTTAAAATTTTTTCTGTATTGGTGTTACTTTATTGGGAGATTAAGGCGGGGAGATAAGTCGCCTGGCTCGGTTCAAAGAGTCGAAGTAATATTTAAAGTACTTAGGTTCAGTACAAAAGTACTGTATTTACCATTTTTTTTTTTAATTTTTATCAAAAATATTTTTTCCAATTTTTGTAATCAAAACCTTAGATTATAATAGCTCATAGGAAAAATACATATAAGTAGTTCGTATAAATGGAAATGTTTTTGTGTTTTATTGAGCAGTATTATATAAACTGAGTTGTCAAAGGTCCAACAAAATGTACGTCATTGAGAAGGGGATCTTCCAAATTATGAATTATAAGAACCTGTGTTTTAGACAGTATCCATGTTGTTCAACAATGAACCAAATACCTGTTACTCAAAATTACAGGTGGATTACGACAGGCGTTGCAAGCAAATGTAATGCGTTGCTATAAATTTGGAGGGAAATTGTAAGTAATACATTTAAATTTATGTTTTTATTTCAAATAAGATTGCAGTATTTTTGCCGCCGACTGTGGGAAAGAAGAAGAGAAGCTGTGGACAGTAGGAAGTATTCGTATCCAGAAAAGTAAATCTCTGAAGGGATTTATAAAGTTCAAAATAGCAAACTGTTGCCTTCCAAATAGCAAACTGTTGGAAACAGTAAAGTAAATTTGGTTGGTATTGTTGTTTATTATTCTTCAGTTTTAAGATTTGATTTCCCGATAGTACTTTGTCACTTCCTCTAGCCATGGTAGTGTTACTAAACGTTGCGATCAAACTTGTAAAGATACTTATACTCATCTTGTAAAAGCAAATGTAGACTACTAAATTTTCCAGTCAGTATTAGTGATTTAGAGCTGCATATTAATTATCAATCTATGATATCATGAAGGTCAAATTATTTTTCTTCTAATAATCTTTTTTATGCAAGTGTGTCTATAAATCTTCATGCTAGAAAAGTACATTTCTGCAATTTTCAGCTGCTTTTATACTGGTTTAAAAAAAATAGCGTCAGGAGAATAGTAATAAATAAAAATATAAAACTCATAATTATTCAAAATCGGGCTTTTGGCAGCAAATAATTGATGTTCTTCAGCAGTTTAACATGGCATGCATGTGGTTTACGGTGTAAAAAAATAGATAATATAAATCAGAATTCCAAATATGTGATCAAATTTTCGATTCAGATATTCAAGAATCTTAATATTTGAGATCCTAATATTCTATAATACCTAACTTACATTGGTAATTCAAGTGTGTAGCCAAAAAAAAGACGGGAAAAATTCTCGTGGGGAGAAGAAGGCTTTTGTATGAAATTTTACCCCTGGCCTCCAGTTTTGTAATTCCATCCTTATTAGTGAAACCCGTTGACAAAAACCAAATAAATAAGAAATGAGAAGCAAAAATAACGAACAGCATCATTGAAATTCATATTCAAAATATCACATTAGAACTTTCATAATTCGAATTTTAGAATTAAATTCGACTTTCAATTTAATTAAAATTTTTTGTGACAGAATAATTTGATTAAAATTTGTGACATAAGTTAATTTTAATTTCAAATTCCAAATTACGTTAATTTCGAATTGTACGGTTCCAAATAATTTAATTACTTAAAATTCTACAAAAATCGTACTCAGTGCTGTAATGCAAAATTCAAAATTAACGTTAACTTTTCTCCAAAAATAAAATTTTTAATTAAACACAAATCCCCCCCCTTTTTTTAATCTTAGTTTTTTTTTTTTGTTTGTTTGTTTGTTTGTTTGTTCGTCAAAGCTCACTTGCAATTCTTTTAACATAGTTTTGCTATGCCAAATCAAAATATCACCTGCGCACACTAACTCCTACACCTCACTTTCCCGCCAAATTATTCCAATATTGGACTTACCTGTCCAGAAGTACTTATAGCAGTCGTTGCAGGCTATTTTACAAATCCATGGAATAATCACTGAAGGGGATGATAATCCTAAAAAAAGAAGAGTAATCGTATCCGAAGATTTGTATAAAGAACCCACGGAGACCACGCAACACTCGACCACTACCTCAAACTCTCCGAGCTAGTTTTGAAGTTTACTACGGCGAGTTGACTTGTTCCTGCTGATTCTGCTACTCACCAAGAGCGCGTAATCCCTACATTTCCCCTAAACGGGAAACTTTTCCTTTATATTTCCTATTTTTTTAATCTCTCCAACATTTGACAGATGTATTGTTGTTTTCATACCTGGAGAAAATTCTGTTTTGGCCAAATGGAAAGACACAATTAATCACGCCTCGTAAGATTCTTTACCATTCCTAAATTATGGAAATGTTACGCTTATCATTATAACGAACCCTACCATTTATAATCAGTGCATATTTTTTAATAACATATTGGTACTTTTCTAGTGTCAGGAAATTATCCGCTCCTCGTGTGCTGCAGTTCCCATACAATACCGTTGTTATTTGTATATGAAATTGGGGCATATTTTTAAGATGAGTATTGTGTTAAGATATAGGTATTATTTAGTATAATAAATAAAATGCTCTTCTAATCCCTATTACATTAAGAAGCTCGACTGTTTATTTCTCCATTAGCCCTCCCACCCGTATGGTTCATTTGCATCAAATATAAATTTAATAATAACAATAATAATAAAACTATGCAGCAAACAAATGCATTGGTATTGTCTATGTACCTTCTCTCTTTCTTTAATTTTATTTAAGTTTACGAACTTATTTTTGAAATGTTGAGATTTAGCTTTATTTCGTAGCTATAGTGGACGTTATTTTTAATGCTATAAGAATTTTTTTAAAAAAAGTCAATGCATTCGAATGTGGTTTTAAAATCCCAGTATCTTGAATAGTGATTATGCTTGAGAATCTACGTGGCGAAAGATCTCAAGAATTGCAAGTAAAATCTCAAATCGCAGTTTTCTAAAATTTTGCAGATTGAGTTTTGGAACTTCCATATAGAAAATTTCTTAAAAAACTAAGGAATTAAAAATAACAATACATTTTTTTCCTTTGCTTGCGACGAATCCTTATTGCCCTTATTTGATTTTTATTACGGAAGAACACGTGAGAGCTATTGCCTAAGATAAGGATGCTTACGTGGAAGACTTTATGAAGAAAACTGATTCGTATGCTATACATGATGAAAACTTCGAATAGAGTTGAAGATTTAGTAATCTTATCCCTTTGCTAGTCAATTTTACCTACTGGTCGGCCAAAGAAAACTTTTAGCTTTACTGAAATGTAATTTATTACACACCAATGAAAATGGGTACATAAAATTACCCCCTAGACACAGATCTCAAGGCCATCGTTAGGAGCAATACAATCATGTGTTTCTTTTGTAAAATATGTATTTGCTTGGAATGCTAATGCAACTCATAATAAGCAGCAACAAACTGCATAATTTAAATAAATTTACAATCAAATATCGATTTTACGTACAATAAAATCGACAGTCAAATAAAACTTTCTTTCTCAGTTACGAGTATGACGGAAAAAATAACTGGCGCCTATGTTAAGAAATACAGAGTAAAATTAATGCTATAGATTTTAGTGAGAGATAGCAAATTTGTAGAATTTGGATACAAAAATGAAAATTTTCATTCTTATTGAAATACATGTTTTGATTTTCACGCCAAAGCACCAGCGAAGATTCATTCTCGTTGATTTTCAGGAATTGGATTTAATAACTTTGATTTTGAATTTTGAATTAATTTAAAGCACTTTTAATTTATTGTTTACTTAATTTACTTAGAATTAAATTACTTTAAATTATTTTATTTTAATTTTTTTGCTCACTTTTAAAGTTTTGAAGTTATTGATTTAATCTGGTTAGCTCAATCTTCCAATTCCTCATAGAGTAAGAGTTTCAACTTCTTAAGTATTTTATTCTTAATCTGGTTAGCTCAATCTTCCAATCTTATCTTATTAAATCTTATCTTATATCTTATTAAATCTTATCTTATTAATCTGGTTAGCTCAATCTTCCAATTCCTCATAGAGTAAGAGTTTCAACTTCTTAAGTATTTTATTCTTTTTTATTTTTGTCCGAGACCAAAATCAAAGAAAGGTAGTTTAGCTTAAGTTAAGTTTCAGGCTAAAATAATAATTTCATTTCATTTCATTTTTTTCTATATAACACCTGTTTCCTGGTAACCTGTTCTATATAACACCTATTAATGATAGGCTTTTTATTATGATATATTATTATTATTAATGATAGGCTTTTTATTATTATTAATGATAGGCTACCAGATATTTTTAGATTTCCTTTTTTCTTTTAAAAATTATTTTTACTGAATTTATAGTTCCGGAACCAATCTCTTTTTCTTCAATAGATACAAATCTTTTCTTACACGAGCTTCTTTTAACATGTATTCTTCAGAAACGTATCTCTCGCGTAAAAGCATAATTAGGTGTTTGTATATTTAATTATATATATTCAAATTATATATATTCAAATATAAAGTAAAAGAAAAATTGATTGCATAAAATGCTAGATTTTAAAATTGACCAACCAGTAAAATAAAAAGGCATTTTTAAATTTTTCATAGTTTTACGTAACCGTTTCAACTAAGAAGGATTCATCAACTGAAGCTTCGTTCAGCAGGAAATTAAATTGTGGTAGGGGAAAAACATTAAATTGACTCTTCTTTAGTATGAAAAAAAAAAAAAAAAAAAAAAAAATTCATGGTACTAAATCTCTTTCTGTAGGGATTTCCTTTCAACTTATCAGTTACCTGTTCCACCAATCCGGACGAGTGAAATTGGTCAGGTGTTCAACACTCGTCAAACTAGGTAAGCGTTCGTAACAAGGGATCCTTCAACAATCAACTCTCTTCCTCCCCTATACTTCGAAATCATTACAAAAACAATTCCGTTGCGGAGAAATAAATCGGTTTCTTTTTTTTTTTTTTTTTTTTTTTTTTTTTTTTTTTTAACCCTAGAATATTTTATGCTTTTTAAGCGGAAACGAAAGTTCACTACTTGTTGAATGAGATTTAAAGCTTTCAGTATTATTGTGTATTTCTACTTTTTTTTATTTAGTTTATTCAAGCTGACACTTCTGTTGCTTTCATGCTTTCATTATTGAAATTTTTGACGATATTTTTACCAAAGTTTTTTTCCCCTTTTCTTTTTAAATACTTCAAAGAAAACGCATTGTGTTTACTTAATACATAAATTCTTGCGTTGGCAACATAAAAGTAGCACACACGATTTTGCGTCTGAAACTATTGACGGATGACAAAATCAAAACAAGTTAGAGGTAGTTTTCGGGAAGTGTTATTCAATGTGAAAAGTAAAACTTTAATTTGTCTTGCATGCTTCCTGGTATATAGTTAATTCTCCAAATATATTTGTTTAGTTTTTTTAATCTAAATAATCTGTTATTGATTTACAGACTGAGTGATTTCACACTCCTTGATTTAAATGCAATAAAAATCTATTCAGAATAGTACAATCACTTCATCGCGCACATCAATACACTTCACCCTATGGCTGCGAAATTTAAATTATTAATTGAAATGTAACAGTTAACAGAATTTTCAACTACCAAATGTTCTTTATTACATTATGTTGAAAAAATTAATTTCAAGGTTCAGGCGACTTAATTGTGAACTTCATTTACAAAATTTCTATTATTACTTCCTTAGTAAACAAATGTATATTTAGAAACTTCATTCTTAAATTTCTTTTCAATAAACGCAGTTATTGACTAAGAGACAAGAATAATATATCAGTGTTTTAAAAACGAGACTTTAGTCTCAAATACGCCATTGCTACTGGGGGGAGGAGGGAATATAACGATTTCATTTGTGATTAGTTTCATTTGTGCACCATAATACAGAACGAAAATTATTTCTAATTTTTCAATTAAAAGTAATGCAAAAGTATTTGGGAACTATCCAAAAAAATGTATTCAGTCAAAAATGTGTGGTCTACTGTAAAAATAAAATTGAAGCAAAATATAATAATCAAAAAGGGAGCTTATCTTAACACTTACTAAAATATAGTACATTGATTGAGAAAAATGACAAAAAGGCTTTCGCTTGCAATATGAGTTACCTTATTGCCAGTACATTGACATTTTTGCATTTAATAAGCTAAATTTAATAATTTTGAGCCCATCATCTCCCGAGTGATACAACCGTTGACCACTAGTAGTTTAGACCTGCTTCCAATACCAGCAAACCATTTTTCAAACTTATTACATAACAACTTTTGTGGTTTTCCTGGCTTGTAACGTGAATACGAGCCAATTTTCCTTAAAAAGTGCTTCACGATGACTTTCATTTTCTTAGGTAGATAACCCTCACATGCTTTTCATAATCTAAATAATTCAATATAATGATTTTGAAAATATCCCCTCTGAGTCTAATAAATTAAGCATATCTATAATATGAAACATAGTGATCTTTAACTGTCACAAAGTAAATTTCCCGCTGAAAAAAGGGAATAGCTAAGATTGTTCAGGACTAACCACTTCTCAGAACCCTTTTGGCAAAGCGTAAGATTTTTAACTTCTCCAGATATTTAAACATATTTTTAGTAGCTGCTTCACAAGGTGGAAGGCTTATAACCAACAGATGTCCTTTTTAGTGATTTCTGTCTTTTCTTTCTTTTTAAATATAATTTTTAATAATGTCTGTATGTTTTTAATCATATTTATTAATCTTAAATGGTATAATTTTAAAACAGATTATGATAAATTACTCTGTCGTTGTATATGTAGTAGTACGTCCATTGAATTGGCGAGAGCATAGGTAATTTTTCGCATTTCTCGCACCAAAAATTTTAACATTTCTAAAGAGCTAGAATGAATAGAACTTTCTAGAATCTAAATCATAAAAGGATCTGGAATCTGTTTGTATAAGAATGACTAAAATATAAAAGATAATCATTTAATTAACCCAGCATTTGAAATCTGCATTTAATTAAAAATAAATTTAAAATAAAGTATTTAAAATTGCACATAGGATTATTAAGAAATGAACGGAATGTACATAAATAAAACTACAGACGATTTTTTTAATATAACTGTAAAGAAATAAATCTAAGTGCTAAATTTTTAT